AATTGTGCATTCAATATAAGTTGTTTTTAATCTGCCCTTTGAACTAGCCTGCATTGTATATCGGTTAGCCGTAATGGAAAAAGTTCGTCAACTATAGCAGCGGAACTTGCATGGATTATCAACATTCAACGTTATATAAAAGCGTCCTCTTGTGCCAAGAATATATTCCTTCGGTAGGTTCACTCGACTCCGAAAAAATTTTTCACGGGACACTATCAACGGGTGAAGTCGCGTTTAAAAAAAGCGGAAAATAAATTACAGCCATTACGAAATGAATCGAATTGGAGGAAGAGGCAATATCGGCGGAAGAAAAATATGGTGACGTTACCTGTGAGGTTATCTTGGAATCGATTCATCTCATCCAATCGAGTCAAGCCGAGTTGTTCTCCCCCTTTTCATGCTTATTAAGTTTAAGTATCGGATCCATACAAGGTTATTACAAGAAATAATGCTAAATTCCTACACGCTATAAACCGAATTTTAAACTATAATTTATTTTGATTTCACATTTTAATAAGCAGGTGAATTGCAATTGCGCTAAAATATTGATACCGAAAATCAATGAACGAAACGTAATATTAAGGGATGTTAGACTAATTTGTTCTGCACTCAATGCAACGCTCACTACGATATTTGTAAAAACAACATGTGCTGCTACTACTATAGTATCGAAACGAGGGTGGCTTTTATTTGTGGGCATTTGTCTCGTTTTTATTAAGTCGCCATTAATGCAATAAAGCGTATAATGTGAGCGAAGACAGGATGATAAAAGTAAAGAACAAAACTTACATTCATATTTTTTAAGAAATAAAAAATCTCAATCTTCCCTAAAATAAAGTTGGAAAGTATGATGAGTCTAATTTATCAAAAGCTTACGGCACTTAACTAGGTAAAATTCATCGATATAAAAATGGATGGAAAGCTCACCATAAATTTTGCGGCAAGACGTTACGTTGAGATAAATTTTTAGGGTCGTCAAAGCAATTAACTTAAAGTAGGTAATTGCGTGGATGATGAAGTGGTCGTTTCAAATTTATATAAACAACGGGACAATGAAAATCATAAAGTTTCTTTCAACCCGACATAGAGTAAAATGAATAAAATATCCGAGCGGTTTCAGAATCGTGTAGCAAAAGAGATAAAGAAATTTGAGACAAGAAATGTGGAAATTATTCATAGGCTTTATTCTAGTGGAGGTGCGGGATTCCAGCGAACCATCAAAAGTCCTTTTATTTCTCTCAGCTATCATTTGTCAAAGCATATCCCAGACTTTATATAGCAAAACGGAGCGGCACTATCCACAATCTGGTGAACACCGACAAAATCAGGACGCCGTAATGAACTGAAGATTACCGCTCAATTTTTCGTCCGATTTAAAAAATTTTCGTAGCCGAGATGAGTACTTGCAGGTGACGACATTTACCTTTCAAGCGTTCTGAGTTATTATCGCAGCTTTTGAACAGCGTCTAGCACAACATGGTTAATTACAAAGAAGCCTCGTGTTGCTGTGATTTATATATCATAACGCATGCGGAATAACTAATAAGCTTTTCAAACGGGAAGAGTTTGAGATAAGCCGCGTCCGCAAATGGGCAATCACATTATAAACACCCGGTGTATATACGCACATTTCCCTTACAATAATGGCCAAAATCGTCAGTCAAGCCGGCTAATATAAACGTAACCGAATTTCTTTAAACTTATTGCAAATTAAAACTTTTATAAATAACAACGCTCTTTAAGTACGGGACTACGACCTCTCTCTATTTAGAACAACGACAAACTTTCTTCGATTGTAAATGAAAGAAAGGCATCGTCACAATAAATCCTGTATAAGAGCAGATAAATGCTCATCAACAATAAAAACATTCAAAGTTAGGGATAGGGCGAGTTAAGGGAAGTTTTTACAGCACTCGCCAGCTGTTCTGCAACGGACTCGGTCCTCGCAAAACAGTCACAGTTTTTATACACGCTTACAAGATGAAAATACGTTTATTGATTAGATACTCCAGAAAGAAACAATTTAGATAGACATTAATTATTTTATTTGGGACATTTTATATTCCGACCCTTTCAGTTCGACTATTATGGGAATTTTGCTTAAAAGCTGTCAAATTATTTTTTTCTGGTTTAGAGCCCGTCAAGTACGTATATAAACTTTTGTCTTGTTTAAAGTTTTCGATAACAATGCTCGAGTTCTACTAACGACTTTTTTCCATTGTCTTGTTTCTTGAAATGCTAAAAAATGCTGGGACACAGTTTGCAATGAACCAAATTCTGAAACGGGCCAAAATACAATTTGTCAAATTCTGCACTATTTATTGCGATTGATTAATTCTCGATTCGGAGTAATAAGGGACATGTCCTACTTCCCTCAATTAAAACAGTTTCTTTAATTCAAAATCCCTTGTACATTGAACATGGACCAACATATACTCTTAAAAATAGTGCCTATTTCACCTTACATAAAAGTTAAACTAAGATTTATAAATAATCATATAGATAATTAATTCACATGATTTGGATATTGGGTGCCCAGTCCAAATATTCCACAGAGTTGCCTTTAGTTGCTCTTGGTTCAACAAAAGCCAAACCTTAATATGTCAGCCTTGTAGGAGTTGGGTGGATGGATAGGGTAAAGGGCACAAACGAGAACACGTCAGTGCTAACTTGGGTCCAGGACTTGCTTGCGTCCTTATGTTCCGACTGAACGGGACCCCAACCAACACTTTCATTCGCCCATCTCTAAAGCCAACCCAACCCACGAGTTATAAATAGCCGAGTTATAAAAAAAACGGAATTCCAGATTTAAACATTCACATAACAATCCCGATGAAAAGACAAATCATGACATAACATAAAAATTATCGCAACAATATTAACAGAGCAATCATACACATAGCTGTAGCCAGATGAGTTACTAAGAGCGGGCAAATAAATCTACATGGCGAGCGAGTGAAAGATTAATAATTTGCTGTGTTCCGCTGAAGACACAAGGGCACAGGGACAATAACCTAAAAAAATATCAAATCAAAAATGAACTTTGGCATTAATACATTTACACACGTGTTATTGCCCCAAATCGGTCAAAATTGTTATTTATGCAACAATTTTGTTGAGAAAAAAATCAAACTCCATTGCGATATGACCCAGAAACGATGATATGTGTATTTCTGGCCAACAAAATATTTTTACCCAAAGAAGATCAAAATCGTTATTTATGCATCAATTTTCTTGGGAAACTCAATTGCTTAATGCCCAAGAAGTGGTCCATGTGTATTTTTGGTGATCAGTATATTTTGGGGAAAAAAGTCGAAATCATTATTTATGTACCGATTGTCTTGGGAAGAACTCGTATTGGCTTCGAGTTTTCGCTATATGAAAGCTTATGGGTTTCAGATGTGGAAGTTCAGAAATTCATTTTAGCATCCAGCACTTTATTGCCAAATATCGATCTAAATCATTATTTATGCACCAATTTTCTTGGGAAAAAGACCACACTCGATTGCTCGATGCCAAAGAAATGATATATGCCTATCGATCGACTTTAAAAGCAGTCTCCATCTGCCTATGTGAGTAAGTTTCGCTAGAAAAACCCACGTAGCGGTGGTTTTGGTTCCACTTGTTCTTACAAAATATAGTTCACATAATTTGGTAGCATAACGTTTAATTGATTTAATAAATAAAAATAATAAGCACCTTTTCGAACGCTTTTCAGCTTTTCATCTTACGCTTAAGAACACGTGTGCCAACTTTAGTTACTTTCGGTTTAGTGGTTTGGCAGGAAATAAGTGGACAGACAGGCGGACTGATGATGATCATTGAAATCGTAATAGAAAACAAACTATTAAATCCATCTTTCAATCTAAAACATTTTTTAATTAATATCGCCACTTGAAATGGTTGAATTTTTCTATCTTTTGCCATGCATGCCACAAAAGGGTCATATTAAGCAATTTTCAAAAGCGGGCAAAGTGGATCCCTCTTGCCCCCCCTCTGGCTATGGCCCTGCTGATACATAATCATAAACAACATATATAGCATCGATAGGCTCAGCCTTAGCAAAAAACACTAAAACGAATATTCGGTCACTACATGTCAAGGGTCAATTAAACCAAACGATTTGCAATATCAGCAAGGTGCTTCTTTTCCAAGACATATAAAAACAAGCACATAGAAAAAGATATGGAGTTTTGGTATCGAAATCAAATAATAGGCCTAATACACATACCGGGTGATCCATAAGTAGTGCGGACAAACAAAGAATTTTTAAATTTTAAAAGCAACTAAAAATAATCAAAATTAATTAATTAAACACCTAACCTCATTACTCCTTCTACGATCGCAGTTCTTCTGTGTCCACGACACTCTTTAGTTATTTATTCATACATTGAAACTTTTTCGAACTACGATGATTTACAACCGTCAACCATCCAGGGCCGTAGATAGGTATTGTCCATGGAGGGTGTTGTCCGACCCCCGACTCCGCTTCCTGGTGATGGCCTCTCCTCCGGGCGCCTGTCCGGGCGCCTGTCCGGGCGTTTCATTAGTTTCCGATGCCTCCCTCCTTTGGCCTCGTTTCTTTCCTTCCTGTATCTCCCTTTCTTTTTATTGTCCTCTCCCTGCCTCCCTTTCTGTCTGCTCCTCCTCCTCCTCTTGGCTGCTTGTGCTTATCTTTAACTCGTCCTCCACCTCCAGTACTCTTCTACTTTCTTTCTTCTTTCTGTGTTTATCTCTGCTTCAATCCCCGTGGCCGCCACCATTTGATCCATAGTGGTGTTCCATGTGAGTTATGATCGTGTTGTACAGCAACATTTTCAAACTGTTTGGTTTTCTTTTCTCTCGTATGAAGTTCCGGATTCCATGTGTGACTCTGAATGCGTTGATTATTCTGTCTTTTACTGTGTTGTGTGCTACATTATGTACGCTCCCAGATATTTTCACTTGTACTTCATGGTTATCTCCCTCCCGGTTATTGTGACCTTTCCTCCTTCTGCACATTATGGGTATTGGGTATTGCTTCCTGGGTCTCTTATAATGATGTATCTCTTTTCGTTGTTTATTTGTAGGCTTGCCATTTCCAGGTATGCCTCGCTGGTTTGGACGAAGTCCTCGATGTCTTCCATCTTATCCGCGAGTACTGGTAGGTCGTCCACGTACGCCACTAGTGTCGGTGGTTGTAATTGGCCACCTGTGCTGAACTTCCTCAGCACCCTCCTGGTTTGTTCTATGGCATTGTCCAGTGCTATCGCGAAAAGCCTTGGGGAGAGCGGACATGCCTGTTTCATTCCTCTGGTTTTCATTCTTCCCAAACCATTGTATACTATAGCGCGTTGGCTGGTTCCTGCCCTCCTGTGTTCGTCTAGGATCCTCCTGGTCGTGAATATATGGTCGCCCGTTGATCTACCTGTTATGAAATCCGATTGGTATGCTGGTGTCCTGTAATGTGACCCTCTAGGCAATGTAGGTTGCGTATATGTTGAATCCGCACTCAGCGAGATTTTCCTGTAGTCGTCTGGCCTGACTTTTGGGATAGGGATCTGCACTGTCTGTTGCCATTCTTCAGGGACAAAGTTCCTGGCCCATACCTCCTAGAGTTCATTCATGTAGGTCCTTTATTGATGCGTATTGTAGCATTTCGGCCTGGATCCTATCCTTCCCTGACATTTTCCCCCTTTTCAATCTTCCTAATATCTCCATCATTTCTTCCCTCGTGGGGGGTGGCGGGAGTGGCCAGTAATCGTTCTTCTCCATTAGCTGGACCTGTACCTCCTGTTCCTCCCATGCTATAATTGCTACATATTTTTTGGGTTCCCCCTTGTTTCCTCCTTCTGTTTCTGTATGTGCTGATACATATGCTAATTCCGCTCCATTGGGCAAAACTTGGCGATGTTCTCTGCAAAGTCGGCGAATTCTTTGATCGCATGTTGTTCAAAGTCTTTGCTTTTCTCCTCTCTGGCCTCTCTTAGCTCTTTCTTTGCTTAAGGTTTGTGTGGGTTTCGCCCAAAACCTCTTCAGTGCTTTGGCATGGTTGTCCATAGCGTGCTTCCTGTTCGGAGATATGGGTGGTTTATGTTCCCCAAGTGTTTTTACTATGATGTTATTTGCACACTTTTTTTTCCAAAAGCAGTGTGAAAATAAAAATCATTTGCACATCGATAACGGTAACTTTTGATTGCGATGTATTTGGTTCGAAAAAAAAAGAGGTTACCTGGAAAGTTTTCCGGGAGTTTAGAAAAATTTCCGAATATTCCATCTCGTATCTTTGCCGCTCGCGTCGCCATATTGGGAAAATGGGGTCCAATTGCAGTTTTTAGTATATTTCTAGCGACTGTCTTCACTGCATCTTATTCTACTCTTGTCCCGGTTTCAAGAAAAATCAAGAACGGGTAACGTAAAATTTTATAAGTTACCACTGTGTAAATAGTGTTTTTTCTCCCGTTAGATGTCGCTTGCTATCGGCTTCATCTTTTGACATTAAATCTCCTCAATTTCCCACTCGTTTGCGCTCGCCACCGGAATAGCTATTTCCTCCAAAAGCTATCCACATCCCGCTTTAATTTGAAATCGAAAAGTGGCACGTGATCAAACATCTCTAAGCAGAGCCCCCTTAGGTTACTTGTGAACAACGGTATGGTCTGAAGTACGGTAAGGAAGGAACGTAAAATGAAACTCTATGATAATAGTATAATTCGTATTTTGAATGAGTTTTTGCATTTTGATTAGTTATTTTAATAGTCAGGCGTCAGGAATGAGTAACAGTAAAAATAAGAATCACTGTCTTTCCCAAATTTATTTTAAATTCTTAGATGGTTGTATAAATGTTTCGGTCATATAATTGTAAGGGCCATTATCAAAGCAATATATTATATATTAAGAGTAAAAATGTTCTCAACGTGTAAGATAATTTGTTGCAATTGATTGATAAATAAATGACATACCTACAGAAAACGTGATATAAAAACAGGTCAGAAAGCAGATTGCAAAACAAAGAAATGGTTGGGGCGACTCATCTTTGGTGTAAAAAAACCTAAAAAAGCAACATGGACAACCAAACTTTAACAAAAAATTATATTGAAATAAGTAAATCGCATCCTATATATCGCACATAGATTTTAAACCGAAGATTTTTGTGTTAGCAAAGTCTCACCCCCGAGACACGTAACAGTGGGCTCTCGTGCGAGATTTCCGAGCCTATACCAGAAATTAAGCGTACGTGCCTTCCGACACGCGGCAGACAGTATTTCTCTTCCAATAAAACGCGCGGTTGCCAGCTCTGAAAAATGTGTGTATCAGTATCAGAGTAGGTTGTATATACACGAACTCATACATTATTTAAAAAAAAAATGTGCTTGTTTTTGTTTTTGAAACTGTTGGCACAAAAAGTAGGTAGATTCAAGACTAAAAAACATATTCGTCAGATGTGTATGGGGTTGGTATTAAATCAAATCATATTTCTCATGCTTGAATTCGCAATAAAGTGGGAGGGAGGGGGGGTCTGCAACTTTTTGATATTGAAGGAATAGAGCCCCCTTAATCATCTGATGAATTTCCGTTGGGGTTAATCTCTATATAGGGAGATCAACCACAGGACTTAGGATAGATGAATGAATTGGAGGAAAACCACAGGTAATCCTATGCGATAAGCGCATAACTATTAGCGGCTGATTTTCAAATCAGTGTCAAGACTCCTCTATGGTAGTGAGACGTGGCCCGCAAATACTGTATTGAAATTGAGTATTGAAAAGGCGAGGCAATAATAAATTTTTCCAGAAAAAATTTAAAACTCTTGAAAATACTTTGGGACTACGAAAATGTTGAAGCCTTTGAAAATTATTTGAATTAATTTCACAAGGCTCAAAGTTTCTGAGTAATTTAGAGCTTAGGAAGCATTAAAATGACCATTGATTTGTACCATCATTTGTCCGTACCAACAGTCATATCTGTAGGCCCTTTTATGGGGGAGATCAAAAATTACGTACAAACTCGGAAACCTCACAGTTAATTTAAACGAGCTCTAAAATTGTATGCTTGTCATATATCAAAAATATGACGTTTTCATTTGACCTTGATTCGGAGGAGTGGTGAGTCGTAAAAATACTTAGTAAATACACACATTAGTTTATTTCTTGGTTTATTTATAATAAACCAAAATTTTCGAATTAAATGGCATCCCGATTATTTATGACGTTGCGATTTGCATATAATCCGTACCTGCGTTAATGCGATGATTTTCATTAGAATTTATGAGGGCTTTGAAGCTTTGTCGAATTCGTGACGGTAAATCGCGCGTGCATAGAGTGAATTTTGAAAATGAAATTATTTAAATGCATCCTAGCAAAACAATATTTGTTATTGATGCTAGGCCATCTGGTTTAACAGATCCCTGTTAGCCGGGCCAACGGACCTTGCCCGGGGCGTATAATCTAATAATATCAACGTTGTAATCAAGGATTCTCCCCATCTCTATTCTCTCTTCGAATTGCTACTGGGACTACATATTGTTCTGGAGCCATAAAAATACTACAGTCCAATGCGCCCAACTTGCTTAGTTGCTAAGTTCTGAACTTCCCTGTCATCACACATTCCAGAATAAAATGACTGTGAAACTTCGCCGGCGAAGACAATACAATTAACTTTTGCGACAAGAAAAACATTCACAGGGATTACGTTTTTGGCATTTCGAAACGGTGCAATTAATTACGCAAGCAGAAAAAGTGTGTGAAATGAAACCATTTTCGCGGCGCCATAATTGAAAATGTAATTTCGCTAGGGGTAGCTAGTACGATCGATACGGAAAATTGAAAGAGATATCAAGATATAGAAAATACGCCATTGTCTATTTTAACACATATAAACAACTACAAATGCAACGGTTATGTCGGGACAGTGGCCGACCGAAGGACGAACAGCCTCTTCCATTATTCGCTCCACAGAATCGCAACCTCATTTTCTCGACCGTTGATTTTGGGTCCCGACTCGGTTTTCCGTCTCTTTCCCATGTCATAGTTGCCCTGACGTGGCTTGTATTTAGATTTCATCCAAAAAGACAACCCCTGATAGCCTCCAGTCCTCGTTAAATACTAAACAGCTTGTCGCATTACCGAACCACCCCTGCGATTGTTTTTCATTTACTCTTACTTGGTAAAACTTAGAAACAGCGATTCGGGTAATGCGAATACAAAATGTTTGATAATTATTGAGAAGATTCAATGGGGAACTTTAATAGCTAAGAGCTTAAGTCAAATTGAGCAAAATTATAATCATAAATTTAAACAACCCCTTTAATTAATAAGCATTTCCAAAACGGTTATAGCGAGCGCCAATTATGACAGCGGCGTATAAACCACACGAGCGAAGTTTAATGGGTCTGGAGATAATATCTTGGGCGGCTTTTCTGTTTGTCAATCGACAGGCCACCACGGCGGCACAGAATAAAACCGTGCCTTAAGCGAGATCGCAATTGTAGATGTACACTTTTTATAACGTCTACACTTTGACTTGCCCGAAAACATCTAAATTTATACGACATTCTGAAAACATCTCAAAAACGCTTCTCATTAAGAACGTAGTTGACTTTCTTTATTTCCTACGAACAATATAATTCATTAGCTGGCGATTCTCTATTTTAAAGAACCCCTTGATTGGATACTGGAGTGATTGCATCTCTAACAATATTAAATCTCGATCGTCTAGATTAAATTTTAGCTCATTTATTTTTGTATCCGTTGCCTAATACTTCTAAATTGGAATAACAAATTGTTATACTTTCCGAAACTTTTTCTAGTGTAATAAAGTTATATGTGTTCTGAATGTTAAAATGCCAATCAATTTTGAATGAATCTAATTGAAGTTTCCTTTGGGGTAGTTAGGTAATTTGTGCAGATTACAATCGATATTTACTTGTCAAAGCAACCTCTAATAATATTTTGATTTTATCAAATTGGTTTCCTCTGAAACGCTGCAAATGAACATTCAGAATTCAAAGTGAAGCAAGCCTTTTGCATAGTGCTTTTTTATTTTGTCGGGACTACGCACACCTTTTTGGCTCAAATATCCTGCTAATGTTGTACGTCGATTAATAACTAAAGCTGGGTACGTGAAGTTAGCAGAACATTGGCGGCACAAATTTTGAGACTAGGTGGATTGGTAGCACTACTACGTTTATGGCGGTTTGTGCCGAAAAAGGTTTGCCAGCAAAATTATTTCGAATTTTAGATCTGCTAACTTTGCACACTTTTGTCGGTATAAATCTCCGGATTAGATGGATTGGTGCTACGTTTGTGCCGGTTTGTGCCGTAAAAAGTTGGCCGGTAAAAAATATACCGTTTGGAAGTTTGTAGGTTATAGGTTTGTAGCACACATTTCCATACTAGGGGGATCGATTAGTGCTACATTTGTGCCGGT